TGGAGTGCAGTGGCATAATCTTGGCTCACTGCAACCTCCGCCTCCAGGGTTCAAGTGACTGCCTCGGCCTCCCAAGTAGCTGGGATTATAGGCATGCACCACCATGCCTGGCTAATTTTTGTAATTTTAGTAGAGACAGGGTTTCACCATGTTGGTCAGGCTGGTCACAAACTCCTGACTTCAGGTGATCCGCCTGCCTCAGCCTCCCAAAGTGCTGGGATTACAGGCGTGAGCCAGCGTGCCTGGCCTGCATAGACTGTTTCTTTTTTCTTTATTTGCCTCGAAGTCTTGATCTTGTCACCCAGGCTGGAGTGCAATCGTGCAATCTCTGCTTACTGCAACCTCTGCCTCCTGGGTTTAAGTGATTCTCCTGCCTCAGCCTCCCGAGGAGCTGGGATTACAGGCGCTTGCTCCCACACCCAGCTAATTTTTGTATTTTTAGTAGAGACGAGGTTTCACTATGTTGGCCAGGCTGGTCTTGAACTCCTGACCTCAGGCGATCCTCCCTTCTTGGCCTCCCAAAGTGCTGGGATTACAGGCGTGAGCCACCGTGCCCAGCCTGCATAGACTGTTTCTTTAACCTGGAATATGCTTCCCCTGCTGGTCACCTGACCAACTATTGCTCATCGTTCAGACCTATAGCAGATGCTGATGATGTCCAACCAGCTTTCCTTTATGAAGTGGTGTACCCAGTCCCCAGCTCCTGTGAGCATTGGCTGCTAACAGCTCACAGATGCCCTCTCCTCTTTTTTATGGCCAACTCCCTACCACCTCCCCACTGTAAACTAGTCCTCCCCTCCCACCAGTGGCAGCCTGCAGCCAATGGCTGGCTGACATGGATGGAAGGTTAAAAGACTGGGCCCCTTGACTCAAGGTGAGTCCAACTTTGTGGTGAAATTAATGTGTGTGAATTTCTCTGGAACTAGCAGCCTGACCTGACCCCCCCCCCAGGTACATGAGGGAGCCAAGCCAACATCAGTGTAGCCTGTTCAGACCAAAGAAACACACAGCAGAATCATGAACTAAACACTTGGTTTAAGCTGAAAGTAGTCTCCTTGCTTACCTTTATTCTCTTGCCCTGTACCCTTCCCTCACTGCCTTTCTCCTTAGAGCATTCCCTCCATAAACCACGTGTACCCGAAGCCCTGTCTGGCTCTGTGGTAAGTCCGAATGCCTGGCTGCCCAGGCCTGGATAGTGAACCTGTCTTGTGCTGCTCTGCCACTGTGTACTGTCTCTCACTGTGGTGCCCATGAGACTGTATTGAACTCTACCTCTGCTACTCACTAAACCTTTCGAAGGCATGGGTCATGCTTTTATTATTATTGCTATTCATGGTATCTCAATATTCCTTAAAAAAGAGACAGAGATGGGGTGATAAAGTGCTTATCATTTTATTCTCAATGCCTAGCAGGTATTAGGTACTCACTAATAGTTGAATGAATGAATAAATGAATGAATGAAAGTTGTCCTGAATTTAACAAAGGGATGCAGGCTACAAGTATTTTTGTAGAGAATATTGGAGCTTAATAACATTTCCATAAGGAATGGATCTTAAAGGCTGGGCGTAGTGGCTCACGCCTGTAATCCCAGCACTTTTGGAGGCTGAGGTAGGCAGATCATTTGAGGTCAGGATTTCAAGACCAGTCCAGCCAACATGGTGAAACCCTGTCTCTGCTAAAAATACAAAAAAAATTAGCTGAGCATGGTGGTGCATGCCCGCAGTCCCAGCTACTTGGGAGGCTGAGGCAGGAGAATCGCTTGAACCCAGGAGGCAGAGGTTGCAGTGAGCTGAGATTGCACTACTGCACTCCAGCCTGGGTGACAAAGACTCCACATCAAAAAAGAAAAAAATGGATCTTAGAGACTTTTAAGGTGCAAAGACCAAGGACTTAAGTGATAGGCTTGCTGAAATGAGGATGGGGAAGTTGCAGTGTATAAAGATATGGTAGCAGAAAATGGCAAAATTGGTCACTAGGAGAAAGAGGAGCAGTTGGGACCAACGTGGTGTTGAAGTGTCCTGCTCAGTGAGGAGGGACCGAACGTTCAGTTCACACCTGTCGTGTGGCATTCACACTCTACATATGTTACTATTCAAGTAACAGGGGCACTGAGGTTTTATATCAGAGTGAAGAGTTGGCTGCTCTCAAAAGCATTTCTCTATTGGAATTCTTGAGATGGGTGGATCCTTCCTGGCTATTAAGAGGCAAAACTTTGGTGCCCAGAGTGGAAAGAAAACCAGATGGTTACCTCAGTCTCTTTTCTCTATCCTCTACTTCTGTCTCCTGAACAATCAGAATTCCATCTTTTTCCAGGTTGGCTTCTGTGGAGTTTGCAATGAGACTGAGATGAATCTGCAGTGACTTCAGGACAGGATCTGGAGTATGTATTTATTTCAACAATACTTCCCTGTAATCAGCCTATCAGGCAATCACAGAAGCTTTTAATAGAAAGCTAGATAAAACTAGTCCTCCACCTAACAGCTTGTTTTTCTTGTAGATATTTAGTATTGCAAAAATCCCATCTAGTGGGAGCCTTTGCTATGGTAAGGTTTGGTTCCAGGTAATCACAATTTTAGAGTACAAAACCATGAAAGACTTATCAAGATCACTGGGGTGGGGGTGGGGTGCTGGCAGCTGCAGCACAATAACCTCTGGTCCACTAGAAAGAAACTCTTCAGTGAGTTTCTTGAGTACTTTACCATATTTGTTCTTTGGACTTTGCAAATGGTGCAGATCATGGCAGTCAGTGGACAATGAACCCAGTTGCCCAGCAGGGAAGTTGTGATATTCTTAGCATCAGAGGGTCTCAAATTGATGTCAGTCTGTAGTGCTTCTCTGCCCTCTCTCGTGCCTCCTCAGCCTGTTTCACCTCAAGGATGAGCTCCCTTCCAGAGAAAAACCGACAGTCATTTGGCTGCTCAACTATTAATACAGTTCCATGTACCCTCTCTCTTCTCACTTCTTTCAAAGGTACTTCCCGCTCACAAAACTCCTCAGCTAAGTTCCTGGGGAATTTGTTGAGTGTCAAAGCATGAATTAAACCAGAAGAGAGATAATCGTGGGTTTTGTCTGAGAGGGGTGCCCAGCCTTGTGAACACACCATCTTCCAGTGTGGATGGAGGATTGCTTGCTCCCTGACCTGTGTCCACTGGGGACCTGCATATACCAGGCATGCTGCTCTCCAGAGACACACACAAGACTCATGGGTCAATCACCGGAACCAGGGGCCACAGCTCACACCTGAGCTGACTGTCATGCCAGGCAAGGCTGAAATATTGTTCTTCTATGATGTTGTGAGTTTTCTCAAATATCATACAAAACTTTCTCCTTGCAGCTCGATCAAGGCAATCTGCATAGTGAGAAGCATGTGGGATTTGGAGGCAAGCAACTTGGGTCTGCGTTTCAGGCCCCTGATTCTGTGTAAATCACAATTCTTCCTACCTCTTGATTTTCCCAAACTGTAAATTGAGCTGCATGTCACCTGCCCTATTTCTTCAAAAGGTCCTCATAAAGACTGAATGAGATACTATATGCAAAATAACACATTAAAACCACTTTATGAATGTTATTATCCTTACTAAGCACCATCAAAGTTGAAGACAGGAACCTAGAAACCTCAGAGGACAAAAGATGTGTGAAAATAACCAGTTTTTCAGGATCCTACAATCTGGCTGGAGTGAGCTCTGGTCCCTGCGTCTCTCCTGCCTCATCTCTGTCCATTCCAACTCCAGACAGACTGAGGTACGTGTCACCAATTTCTGGAATTCTCCATTGTCTCTGCAGACCCTGGATCTTTGCAGACGCTGCTTTCCTTTGAGAAGCACTTTCTGCTCTCCCCATGCCTATCTTTTCTCCTTCTCTCATTCTTCATCTGGCTGAACTCTGGGAGGCTTTCCCTGACCAGCCTCTGCTCCACATCAAGTGTGAGACTGGATCCAGCACTCACAGCACTCTGAGCTCATCCCTGTCACTGTCTACCCCTCACAATACTGTACTGTTCATTAATAGGTCTGTGCGCTCCCTGAGGGTCAGGAAATGTGTCCTACACAGTTGCATGGGGTTTAGAGTAAGTATTGAATGAATATCTATTGGGTAAATGAAAAAAAAAAACCCACCCACTAAAATAGCTAAATGCTGAGGGGCTCACCCATTATACTAGAAGAGAAATAACCTGAAACCCTGGGGACTCCTTAATGGACACTTCTTGGGACACTTCCTGCTTTCAAAGGCCCCAGAAAAGAGTTCAGGTGGTCCACGACAGCTAAAGCAGTCTGTAAAAAGATCCCATTGCTTAGTAAAAATGAAAGGAAGTTGAAGTAATTGGACAGACTGCATGTCTTGATCAGAAATCAAATCAAAAGATTTCACCCAAAGATAAGAAACAAAGAAACCTCACTGGGCCGGGCGCGGTGGCTCAAGCCTGTAATCCCAGCACTTTGGGAGGCCGAGGCGGGTGGATCACGAGGTCAAGAGATCGAGACCATCCTGGTCAACGCGGTGAAACCCCGTCTCTACTAAAAATACAAAAAATTAGCTGGGCATGGTGACGCGTGCCTGTAATCCCAGCTACTCAGGAAGCTGAGGCAGGAGAATTGCCTGAACCCAGGAGGCGGAGGTTGCAGTGAGCCAAGATCGCACCATTGCACTCCAGCCTGGGTAACAAGAGCGAAACTCCGTCCCAAAAAAAAAAAAAGAAAGAAACCTCGCTGAGCTTTGTGTGCAGTGCCCATCACATTACACCTCCATAGACTCTGACTGGTGGAGGGTTCACACCATGGATTTCCTGCCTGTGTCCAGTTAATTCCCCTTCAGTTAATATCTGGTGAGACCACCAGGGGCCCAGCAATTTGCAAAAGAGACAAAGGGATTCAACTCACTAAACACAGACTAAATGAGCCATTTAGCCAATAGCCTCCTGTTCCTTATCAGTGGGGCCTTGGACTTCAATTCATGCTCGCTGGGCTTTCAGACCTTTAGTGGAATGGACAGAAATATACAGATTGGCGTGTGCTGCCGCATAGCACTGAGTGCACATGTGATGATTTTTTTTAAATGGCCACAAATTCTTTGTCATGTCTCCCTTCAAGGGATGGGGATCTGTTTCCTCACCTTGAATCTGGGCTTTGATTGCTTTGAGCAGTAGAGTACAGTGTTCTGATACTATGTGACTTCTGCATCTAGGTCTCAAAGGGCCATGGAGCTTCCACCTGCTTCTGTTACAGTGTTCACTCTCTGGAAGCTCCCTTCTGGAACACACCGTCAGAACCCAGCCACTGTGTTATAAGAAGCCCGAGTCACATGAAAAGACCACTTGCAGATGCTCTGTTCACTGTCCTAAGTGACCTTAAACTTCGAGTCATCCTGGCCCAAACATCAGGTGAGGGAAGGAATTGCCAGATGGGTCTGGTACCCAGCAGAAGCCCTGGAGTCACAGAACAAAGACAAGCCATCCTTGCTGGGTTGTCCAAATTCCTGATCCATAGAATCACATGCATAACAAAATAATTGCTTTATGCCACTTAAGCAGACTTATTGGTTTATCATGCAGCAACAGACGAGAGCACACACTGCAGCACATGATGATGAGAAATGCCCTTTGGGCAAGGAAGTCAATATGTGGCACTGGAAAGCTGCTTACGTTTTGAGAACAAGTGAACAGAATCTTTAAGGAAGCGGAGCACTGAAGAAGTCCACACTGGGGCCTTGAGGTCTAAATGCTGGATCTCGAGTCTTTCCTGAAGGCTCATGCTGCCCACCAGCAGTCTCTGGTTAAGGTTGGAGAGGCTTGGTGAATGATGCTCCTTCACCTTTTCTACAGGACCTCTTCCTCCCCTTCAGGTCTGGTCTGTGTCATGTTTTATACTAGACTGTCCCCTTCATCTTTGTGTCCTCAGCCAAGCACAGTGGCTGGTCAGGAGGAGAACCAAGTTGTTGAACTAAACACAAAGGGGTGCAGGGAAAGGATGGAGCATCCTAGGTGTCTTTTCTTCCCTCTTGCCCAAACATGATCAGTTACCTGCTTCTGTGGCAGAATATGAGAGAAAAAGACTCAAATTAGCATTTAGTAAGCAGTTACTACATGGCAAATGCTATACAAGGTACTTTTATGATGACCTCATTTAATTTTGAAACCCCAGAAGGTGGGCACCACATTTAGGAGAAGAAGAAGTTTGGACTTACACGATTCCCTTGCCTGAGGCCATACTGATGGAAAGTGATGGAGCAGGAACATGACCCTGGGGTTTCTGTACCCAAAGCCTGTCCTGTTGTATCTTAGGAGACGATACTGCTGGTTTGGGAGTGTGGAGGACTGCTGGTTTGGGGTGGGAGGCTTGCTCACATGTGGGAAAGCCCCTTGGGGTGTAAGTAGAGCAACCGTCTGGTGAGGAATCAGTTCAGAATCTTCATGGGCATTTACAGACAACCAGAAAGCTGCTGGGCATCCAGTTCTAACAAAGGTCAGGGCCAGTGGGCTGAAGGGCAAGGGACACTAGGGGAAGTCTTGCTCAGTCAGACCAACAGCAGGGGCCAAAACCCAGAAACCACCTGGCTGGACATCGGTGTGACTTTCCTTGCGGCCCATGAGCTGATGGTCTGCGCTGGCTGTGTGTGCTACCACAGACCAGTCAGAATCCCGCAACTGACTAAAAAGGTGATTTCAGAAAATGACTTCTTTTTCATAAAGGAGAGAAACAAAGACCACACAAGATCATCTCCTATTTGTGTCATTTGACAGAAGACACATTTCTTGTTGGGGAAACAATGAAAAAAACCCCTCAGATTAGCGCTAAACAATTTCATTCTGAATAAACTGGATTTACTGAGAAACAAAGATAAACAGACTCAGTGACGGATAAAGAAAGACATTAAACAGTCTAAGGTGGAGGAGTGAAAGAGCGGACAGGAGGAATGATACGTCTGGTAATTCTAAGTGTCATTCTTTTTTTTTTTTTTTTTTTGACACAGGGTCTGGCTCTGCCACCCAGGCTGGAGTGCAAGTGGTACAATTTCGGCTCACTGTAACCTGTGCCTCCCAGGCTCAAGTGATCTTCCTACCTCAGCCTCTTGAGTAGCTAGGACTACGGGCATGCACTACCACATCCAGCTAATTTTTGTGTATTTTCCTTTTTTTGAGATGGAGTCTTGCTCTTGTTGCCCATGCTGGTGTGCAGTGGTGCAATCTCAGCTCACTGAACTTCCGCCTCCTACGTTCAAGGGATTCTCCTGCCTCAGCCTCCTAAGTAGCTGGGATTACCGGTGCCTGCCACCAAGCCTGGCTAATTTTTGTATTTTTTAGTAGAGACAGGGTTTCACCATGTTGGCCAGGCTAATCTCAAACTCCTGACCTCAGGTGATCCACCCATCTCGGCCTCCCAAAGTGCCGGGATTACAGATGTGAGCCACCGCCCGGCCTGGTTTCTGTATTTTTGGTAGAGATGAGGTATTGCTATTTTGCCCAGCCTGGTCTGGAACTCCTGGGCTCAAGCAATCCACCCACCTCGGCCTCCCAAAGTGCTGAAATTACAGGTCTAAGTGTAATTCTCCCTCTTCATTACTCATTAGCTTCAAAAAAGATATTCTGAAATTGTTTGACAGTTCCTTAAACAGTTAAGTATAAATCACTATACGGCTAAACAATTCCACTCATAGGTAACCAACCAAGGGAAATGAAATGAATACGGATGACTACATAAAGAACTCTATATGGATGTTCATATCAGCATTCTTCATAATACTCAAAACTGGAAACAATTCAAATGCCCATGAGCTGGCAAATGGATTAACAAGATGTAGTACATCCGTATGATGGAATGCAACTCAGCAACACAGAGCAACACATTCCTGAACGTGCGTCCACATGGCCAAACCTCACGGTATGCGAGATGACACAGATCAGACACAAAAGACTATAGATACACTGTGAGGCCGGGCACAGTGGCTGAAAGATACATGTAATATGAAAGGTTTAGGTAGTAGGTAATAAAGGTGCTCCCCTTATTATTTTCCAAAGGTAGCATCCACAGAGTTCAATTTTAAATCTATTCATGGACAGACAGATCTGAAATAAGGTTATTCACAGAAATCAGGAATGGCTGAAGGCACATCTTATTTTAGGAAGAACACCGTGGCAGGCAAAATGTGTGCCCATGAGAGGCAGCACAGAGTTGGATGGGTTGAGCGGAGTGCAGACCCCAGGTGGTACCATCTATGTATTAAGATTTTGTTTTCCGGCCAGGCGCAGTGACTCACACCTGTAATCCCAGCACTTTGGGAGGCTGACATGGGCAGATCACCTAAGGTCTGCTGTTTGAGACCAGCCTAGCCAACATAGTGAAACCCCGTCTCTACTAAAAATACAAAAATTAGCTGGGCATGGTGATGCATGTCTGTAGTCCCAGCTACTCAGGAGGCTGAGGCAGGAGAATCGCTTGAGCCCGGCAGGCAGAGGTTGCAGTGAGCCAAGATCGCACCACTGCACTCTAGCCTGGGTGGCAGAGCCAGACCCTGTCTCAAAAAAAAAAAAAAAAAAAAAAAGAATCTGTTTTTCAAAAACTTCCTGGGTAACAGGAGGCACAGTGCTGCAGGTGGGAAAACCCACCCAAATTCCCTCACACTGATAAGACAAAACACTCTGGCTTTGGAGGGAGGCAGGCCAGGTTTGAAATCAACTCTGCCTCTTACCAAAGTCTTAACTCTTTTCAACTGTAAATGGGCTTATTGCTACTTACCTTACAGTGTAGCTCTGAGGACCAAATGAGTGACATATAAGGAAAGTGTACAAGCTGATGAGGTGACCACACCCCACTGCCCGTGCCTCCTAGATTCTCTGCTTGTCTCTAGGGCAGGAGAACTGCAATTTGCCAATATACATATGCTTTAAAGGAGTCATGTCACATTTCTTTCCAAAGCTTACCACTGTTTGGCCACGGTTCTTGAGCATCATCTTCTGTTTTTGGTAATTGTGGAGGAGGAATGAAATGAGGCTGTGGGTCCATGCAGCACCTGCTTCACCCTGTGGTCTGCCGGAACATCAAATGGTGCAGAACATTGAGAAAAAGGTACTATGTAAAAACGTTCTCAACTAAATTCCAGTGTTTGTAAAACACTATGCAGGGGGCCCATATATGCCGTCTGCAGCTGGCTCAGAGTTTAGACTCATCATTCAATCTCAAATATTTAATTTTTGTGTCTACGAGAGAGGGAAAAATATACCAAGAAAACGTTACAGATTGACATTAAAAAAAACCTTTCCTTTCTCCTTCCTTAAAGAAAAATTACAGGGCTGGGTGCAGTGGTTCTTAACTATAATCCCAGCACTTTGGGAGGTCAAGGCAGGAATTCAAGGCTGCAGTGAGCTACGATCATGCCACAGTACTTCAGCCTGGGCAACAGAGCAAGACCCAGCCTCAAAAAAAAATTACATATTCTCAGCATATAATTAAAAATACAGTTAAGAAAAAGCAAGCAGGCCAGGTGCGGGGGCTCACATCTGTAATCCCAGTGCTTTGGGAGGTTGAGGCAGGTGGATCATGAGACCAGGAGTTCAAGACCAGCCTGGCCAACATGGTAAAACCCCTTCTCTACTAAAAATACAAAAATTAACCTGGCATGGTGGAGGGTGCCTGTAATCCCAGATACTTGGAAGGCTGAGGCAGGAGAATTGCTTGAACCCCGGAGGCGGAAGTTGCAGTGAGCCGAGACTGAGCCACTGCACTCCAGCCTGGGAAACAGAGTGAGACTCTGTCTCAAAAAAAAAAAAAAAAAAGAAAAAAGCAAGCAATCTCTCAAATACTTACCATCCAGATAGAATTTTATGAACATTTTAAAGTTATTCCAAACCTTCCTTGTGCAACACAAGCCATGTATTAATATTCTATGTATGCAACATGTACCCAGACACTAGAGTCAGACTACCTGGAATCAAACCCTGTCTTGCCACATACATCTCTGAGGTCTGGTAAACCGGCAAGAAGACAGTATATTCCTCAGAGTTCTTGTGAGGGGCAGGTGAGTTAAACATACGCTCGGAACTGTGCATGGTGTAGAACAAGTCCTCAACAGATGAGAGCTACTGTTCCGTGTCAGGACAGAAATATCAGATATACCATGTCCTTTCATATCTGTGAGCATACACAGCATACACACATGTGCATGCCTGTCTACTGTGGATAGGCCTTTACTGTGTGAATATGTGAAGTTCTTATGTTGAAACACACAAAATGGGATCAAATTTAAAGTAATCTGTTTTTTCATGTATCAAAAAAAAATTGCATTTAAGTATAGATCTCTATGACCATTTTAGTGGCTAAAATACTATGCTTCTATGTAGATACTATGTACACTGTGTAACTGTTAATCTCTTAGGTAGTTTGCATAATTGTTTTGAACTGCGTTTATAGGTTACCTAGTCCAAAAGCAAGTCAAATAACGATCAGAAAGGCAGCAGTCCACAGATCAAACCAAGACTATTTTCCATCCTTTTGAACTCCAAGTTAGTGGTTTATTCAGCCCACTCAAGTCTAGTTATGATTTAAGTCAGACCATGCAATTTAATACCTGCACATTAAAAACAGTGACATCATCATTTGAAAACAAATTTTATTTAACAAAAAGGCAACATGATTCTTCCAAAATAAAAATCAGTATCACCTTTCAAGCTTCCATTCCAACTCTGCAGATACTATGTGCATTACGGAGCTGTCAGCTCCTCCCACGTCCCAGGTGGTCCCTGAGGGTGGGGCTTATGCACACCCTAATTCCTTTTCCAATTCCACATTCCAATCAGTGAAATGTGGCATGACAGGGAGGATCTGTGAGTAGGGTATGTTCAGGGTAGAATCCCTTAAAGTCGCAGGCTTTCATCATCATACATGGCCCAGCCATGAATCTTTCTTTTGGGGGTGGGGGCATGAGTCTTTATCAAACAGGTTTAGGAGGACGATCGTAGGTCAGAGATGAGCCAATAACTGGCCTGTCCACGAACTCCACAGCACACCGTTCTGGATCCTCACTGCTGCAGGGTGCCCGCTCCAGTTCCAGCACGGTGATGGTGTTTGGGGCCGAGGTCATCAGGATGTGCTGGGGCACAAACAAGGTCAACTGAGGGCCCCGGGCTGGCCAATAGCGACCAAGGTTAAAGCCATTAATCCACACCTGGCCCTGGAGAGAGAGACAGAAAACCATCAACCCCAGACTCACCGAAAGCCCTGAGGAAGGTGGGGGCCCTGATGTAGGGCAGGCCAGCAGCGAGGGAGGAAGAAATGACCCCAGGCGGGGCTGCCAGCCAGGCCCGTGCCAGCCTTGGTTTCAGCATCCTGCTGAGATCACTGGCCAAGGTGGGAAGAAGGTGGATTGGGGGATAACAAAGACTTGCCCCAAAGACCCACTCCTGCTTCAGGAGAATATGGGTTTCGTCCTTCTCATGGGCTTTGGCAGCCACAGAGGTTGGTGCCAGAGAACAGTTCATGAAGCTTCTCAATTTCATGCTGGTTCCCAGGTGTGGCCTCTCCCTGACTTTTCTGTACACAGAAGACAGCTGCTGAACTGCTTCCTTAAATAGCTCTTCTCCTTCTTTGTTCTCCCTTCCTAGAGGCAGGTCTTGATCACACTGTCTGCCGTACACCCCGCTGGGTGTACAGGGCACAGAAGACTCCAGGGCCTGCATCCTGAGGTCAGACAGGTACCAGGAGTGGTCCCCAAAACAAGCCCCCAAGAGGAATGTGGGGTTTGGGTGAGGGAGAGGAACAGGCTCACCCAGTTGGGTGTCTCTATTACTGCTATGTCTTTTTTTTTTTTTTTTTTTTGAGACGGAGTTTCGCTCTTGTTACCCAGGCTGGAGTGCAATGGCGATCTCGGCTCACCGCAACCTCCGCCTCCCAGGTTCAGGCAATTCTCCTGCCTCAGCCTCCTGAGTCGCTGGGATTACAGGCATGCGCCACCATGCCCAGCTAATTTTTTATATTTTTAGTAGAGACGGGGTTTCACCATGTTGACCAGGATGGTCTCGATCTCTTGACCTCGTGATCCACCCGCCTCAGCCTCCCAAAGTGCTGGGATTACAGGCTTGAGCCACCGTGCCTGGCTTGCTATGTCTTAATGATCCTTACAAGCACCCTCAGAGTTAGGGTGTGGACTCCATGTTTGGTTCAGGAGCAGAGGTGATGCTACAGGCTGCACAAACAGTTGTGTGAGTAGGGGAAGCTGCTTCCCATAACAAGACTGAATGTGCAGGAGAAACTCCTAAAAAACACAGACCATGTTTTCTGAACAGCCTCTCTGGATGTGCTAAGATTTGCTCAAAGGGGCCGGACGTGGTGGCTCACACCTATAATCCCAGCACTTTGGGAGGCTGAGGCGGGCAGATCACCTGAAGTCAGGAGTTCGAGACCATCCTGGCCAACTTGGTGAAACCTCGTCTCTATTAAAAATACAAAAATTAGCCAGCCGTGGTGGCACATGCCTGGAATCCCAGTTACTCAGGAGGCTGAGGCAGGAGAATCACTTGAACCTGGGGAGGCAGAGGTTGCAGAGAGCCGAGATCGCACCACTGCACTCTAGCCTGGGCGGTGACAGAGCGAGACTCTGTCTCAAAAAAAAAAAAAAAAAAAAAAAAAAACTGCTCAAAGCTCAAAGGCTAGGATCAACAGCTGGCTGAATAGATGGGACATTCTATTACAAAGAAAGACAGTGAAGGAGGGGAGATCACACACACACAAGAAAGAGAAAATCTGGGAGAAGAAAAGGAAAACATAAAGGGAGAAGGAGGAGGGAAGAGGAATGGAAGAAGGGAGGGAGGCAGGAAAGAAATCCTGACCTACAATGGCCCAAATATCCCAGGAGACAGCCTGGAGGAGGCCCAGCCACCATGACACCTGCTGAGCCCTAATCCTTATCATGTCCTGCAACACAATACTGCTGCCCACCCCAGAGCGCCTCAGTCTTCTTGTGTTTGGGGATTTTTCAGCCTCCAACTGTCCCCTTTATTTTAGATCCTTCTGAATTTCTTACCTGGGTTCATATCTGAGTCCTGCCACTTACTAGCTGTTTGACCTTGGGTGGGTCTCAAGTCAACTTTTCATACCAGTCATTGGGGACAATGATGACAGAAGGAACAGTGTGGGGTCTGTAAGTGGTAGCACTCCTTACATGATTAAAGTGAAAAGATACTGGCAGGATGTGGTGGCTCACACCTGTAATTCCAGCACTTTGGGAGGCCGAGGTGAGTGGATCACCTGAGGTCAGAAGTTCAAGACCAGCCTGACCAACATGGCAAAACCCTATCTCTACTAAAAAATACAAAAATTAGCTGGGCGCTGTGGTAGGCACCTGTAATCCCAGCTACTCGGGAGGCTGAAGCAGGAGAATCGCTTGAACCCAGGAGGCAGAGGTTGCAGTAAGCCGAGATTGCACCACTGCACTCCAGCCTGGGAGACAGAGCAAGACTCTGTCTCAAAAAAAAAAAAAAAAAAAAGAAAAAAAAAAGATGGTGTTCACATGAAGGGGATCTGTGATTAAAAACCACCTGTCTGTTGGATTAAGTCATTTAGAAAGAGGATGACAGTTTCACGGTTCTCAGAACTATTTCACTCTTGTTTTTACCCTGGGATATGTTATCTCAATCCATCCTAAAAGGCTTATACAATGACAGCTTTACCAGGTTTTTATCAGCTTAAAATCTGCCGGGGCCTTGTTTTTGCAGTATTAGAGAACAGCACACGTTACTTTTGTGGTCAAGGGGGACGACAGAGCAGCGGGAGGGCTTTGTGAGCAGCACCGAGGAATGGCACGTAACACACAGGCTTTGTGCTATGCTCGGGACACGGGCCAAGCCAACTCCTGACACAGCCGGAGAACAAAGTGGAGGTTTGGTCCTTTCTCACACCTCACGTTCCATTTCATAAGCATCCAAGAGGCGGGCCCTCACATCCCGGGTGCTGAACTGTGCACCTGGTAGGTAAGCTGGGAACTGTCTTCCCCGGATGGCTCTGGGTTAGTGTTGGTCAGAAGAGGACCTCGCTTGAGA